GGACATTTTTTCTTTTAAAGAAAAAAAAACAAGGGACAGTATTTTTTTTTTAAGATTTTATTTATTTATTTGAGAGGGTGAGAATGAGAGAGAGTACATGAGAGGGGGGAGGGTCATAGGGAGAAGCAGGCTCCCCGCCGAGCAGGGAGCCCGATGCGGGACTCGATCCCGAGACTCCAGGATCACGACCTGAGCCGAAGGCAGTCGCTTAACCAGCTGAGCCACCTAGGCGCCCGAGGACATTTTTTCTTTTAAAGAAAAAAAAACAAGGGACAGTATTTTTTTTTTAAGATTTTATTTATTTATTTGAGAGAGAGAATGAGACCGAGAGAGAGCACGAGATGGGGGAGGGTCAGAGGGGGAAGCAGACTCCCTGCCGAGCAGGGAGCCCGATGCGGGACTCGATCCCGGGATTCCGGGATCATGACCTGAGCCGAAGGCAGTCGCTTAACCAACTGAGCCACCCAGGCGCCCTCTGTTTCTGTTTTGATAGGGATTGCATTAAATCTATAGGTTGCTCTGGGTAGTATGGACATTTTAACAATACCACTCCTACTCTATGCAGGTGTGCTGCTGGAGCATTTATATAAATTATCTTTTTAAATTCTATATCAATCCTATTGTGGATCAAGTTATCCTAATTTTAGAGACCCACAAGTACAGAGGAGAGCTAACATTTTTTGTACATTAATTTTGTATCTTATAACTTCACTGAATTTATTACTTTTAATAGTTTTCTAGTAGAGTCTTTGGTTTTCTACGTATAGTATCATGTCATGTGCAAATAGTGACAGTTCTACTTCTTTCTTACCAATTTGGATATGTTTTATTTCTTCCTCTTGTCAGATTGCTTGGGACTAGGACTTCTAGGACTATGTTGAATAAAAGGGGTGAGTGGACATCCTTGTCTTATTCCTGATCTTAGAGAAAAAGTTCTCCATTTTCACCAGTGAGTATGATGTTAGCTGTGGGCTTGTCATATATGGCAATTATGTTATTAATTATTATGTTGAGGTATGTTCCCTCTAAACCCACTTTGTTGAGAGCTTTTTATCTTTAATGGATGTTGAATTTTGTCAAATGCTTTTTCTGCATCTATTGAGATGATTGTATGATTTTTATCTTTCATTTTGTTAATGTGGTGTATCATGTTGATTGATTTGTGAATATTGGACCATTCTTGCATCCCTGGAATAAATCCCATTAGATCATGGTGAATGATCCTTTTAATGTGTTGTTGAATGTGGTTTGCTAATATTTTGTTGAGGATTTTTGCATTTGTGTTCATTGGAGATAGCTTGTACTTTTCTTACGTGAGGCCTTTGTCCAGTTTTGGCATCAGAGTAATGCTGGCCTTGTAGAATGTATTTGGAAGCTTTCCTTCCTCTTCTATTTTTTGAAATAGTTTGAGGAGAATAGGTATTAACTCTTCCTTAATTGTTTGGTGGGATTCATCTGTGAATCTGTCTGGTCCAGGACTTTTGTTTGTAGGACTTTTCTGATTACTGGTTCAATTTTGTTAGTAATAACAGGTCTGTTCAGATTTTCTGTTTGTTCCTGATTCAATTTTGGAAGATTGTCGATTTCTAGGAATTTATCCATTTCTTGTAGAATGTATTTGGAAGCTTTCCTTCCTCTTCCATTTTTTGAAATAGTTTGAGGAGAATAGGTATTAACTCTTCTTTAATTGTTTGGTGGGATTCACCTGTTAATCTGGCTATTACCACCAGTATTACCATAACTTCTGAGAGCCAGGTACCCTCTGCGGTGACGAATGG